CTGTGCTTGATGTTCTCTGTACCATGAACGTTACTGTGTTTTTCCTCATCATGTAAATGATTTTCCCACTCATCCACCACAAGACAGGCCCCTCTGCTTAGCAGCTTGTCTGCTGTTTCTCTAGTTTTCCCTTGAGCACCTGCTCTCTCATAATAAACCCAGCTGTTGATTTTGGCAAAGCTGCACTTGGTTTTTTGCCTTATTGTTATTCTCTTCATGGCCAGTACACGTTTTAGTTGCTGATAGAATGTCATTTGTCTTATCTGACATTACTCATTAATGAGAAATAAGAAGCAAAACAATATGTCAATCAAGTTAAATAATCTAGACTATATTGAGAATACCAGGCAAAGGGCAAAAGGTAGGAGCAAAAATCTTGTACAAATCAAATTTGCTGATTATTTTAAACAGCTTAAAGCAACTGATGGGAGAAATGAAAAAAGAACATTTTAGTAACTTAAATTGGGATCTATCTGTAATCACAGGAGGGCTTAAGTAGAAGAAAATGGTTAATATCTCATACTGTTTAATTGTCGCAGTTTTGTCTTGGAGAAACGGAATAGTTAAAGATTTTTCTCTGTGTGATCGCCTATTTAATCTTCAGACTGTAAGATGGCCCCACTTCATTCCAAATGGTAATGCTCAGTTATCAGTTTATTAAGGAGACACCATTTGAAGAAACTCATCACATATGAATGGTTTTGAGTAATAAAACACTGCAATGATGTAACATAACAGAGGCGAGTCTCAGGGTGGTAGTGGAAGTGAAGAAGATGAGGACTTGTGGTTCTCTGAGTGACAAGAATGAACTGACTGGGAGCGAGACTGAAAGGCAGAATAACAGAACAGAACTGAGATTTAAAGGACAAGGAATAGAGGCTGATTGATTCACAGAAGGCAGGCAAAAGCACTGTACCAGAGTGATGATGGCAGAGTTTCACATTATGGGAAAGACCAGGTGACAGAAAAGAAAGGATTATCAGCCCGAATGCCCAGGGATGCAAGCAAACGAGTGAAAAGACATATTCCTTATTTAACTTAACAAAAACTTTAATCCTGTAAGATGGGAGTATCCCTAACCGCAAGTCTACACTATCACAGTTACTGCTCATCGTTAGCGGTGATTTAGACCCAGTGTCTGTCTCCTTTTTGGGCAGTTAGCATAAATTAACTTTCATTTTAATAGTGACAGGGATAAAAACTGCATGTGTGGAGTCAAACCAGGCAAATATTTAAAAAAAAAAAAGCAAAGCAAAACCAAAATAATCCTTAAAAATGTTTTTATGATTTTGCCCCAAAATATGGTTTTATAAAGGCTTTTCCACTAGAAGCTACACTTCTAGCACCAGCTTTGATGTCACATCTCCATTTCATTGTCTTTGCTTAGACCTCACATGGTCTAAGCAAAGTCAGGCTCTGAGCCACATCTCCAGGAGTGTGGCTCTGAGCCTGACTAGCAATGAAGCAGTGGCTGAGTGTTTTTGCACTCCTGTCAATAAATATCTGTGGACTGTCCGCGAGTACAAGTTACTCAGCTACCAAAATGACTTTCTCAAGCATTACATGCACTCTGAGTTCTAAGTGAACTGAATGAATAAAACATGGACCAAATTCCAGGTATTCAATATAGTCTGTTGCCAAAAAACAAAATATTTATTTTTTATATATGAAATCAACTGTGCTCTAAGAGCAGTCCCAGAGCAGAACAGATTTAGACTACTTAATTAGATTAGATTACAGTTCTATTTTGAATGTAGCGATTCTGACTGGCGTGGGTTGGTGTTCACAGGTGAGTCTTAAGACAAGGCAACCAGTTGTCTTATGAAAAAGTAGTATTTATCTATTTTTTTTCCAATTTAAAAGTACAACTGCTGTGAAGAAAATACTACTGAGACAGAAAAATAAGCAAGCAGACCATTGGAAATCCACACTTTGCTCTGCTCTGTCTTTGTGACACATGGAGTAAATGAGCAGATGGTTCTCTGTGTGTGGTGTTCTCACTGTAACGCACAGAGGAACCCTGTGATGGGGATACAGTTTATGATTTATACTGACTTTATTCAAGCTGGTTATCACAACACCCTGCATTGATATGTCATGCTACATAGATTTATGTAACTATTGTTTGTTCTTCTGCAGGCAAGTGAACCAAAACACACCTCTGGATGTTTTAGGACTCGAATGATAGAAAGCATCAGACCTTCCTTCCACAAACCTAAACTAAACTAACCTAAAAAGAACAAGCCAAATGTGCTTTTTAAGCAATCAAAACTTGTGCTGTGGCACCTTTTTTAATTCTATGAGTTATTTTTATCAGTATTCTCTCTCCCCAAGCATTCGCAGCAGATGGCCGCCCTTCGCTGAGCCTGGTTCTGCCAGAGGTTTCTTCCTGTTAAAGGGGAGTTTTTCCTTCCCACTTTTGCCAAAGTGCTTGGTCACAGGGGGTCATATCATTGTTGGGTTTTTCTCTGTATGTATTATTGTACGATCTACCTTACAATATAAAGCACCTTGAGGCAACTGTTGTTGTGATTTGACACTATATAAAGAAAATTTAATTGAATTAAAACTAGTGGTGATACTGTTTCCAAACCTTAGTTGATGTGTGTTATTGTAGAGTTTTTACCTCACAGTATAAAGATGATGTGACTGTTAATGTGATTTGGCACTAAATAAATAACATTTAATTGACCAACATTGAATCTCTCTCACACACACACAAAATACTTGAGACATAAAATAATCAGCTGTTCAGCTTTTGTAATTAGAAGAAAAATGACATCTATGAATCAGTCCATAAAAAGATCATTATAAAAGAAAGAAAAAAAAACAGTACCAAAAGAAAAAAAAGACAATATAAATTTATAAAGTTGTCAAAGATTGAGAACTGATTAAAGAGCACAACAAGCAGGATTGCATATATACATTTACATGACAGCCACACTCCTCAACATCAGCAGAGTACATAACAACAATGCTATCAGAGAAAAGACACAGACAGGAGGAGAGTTTGTTTGTGTAGAAAGGGCAGCATTCTTGTTATTCATTGCAAAATTAATGCAAAAATAAAAATATGAGTGCTGACATATTATAAATAAATAATGAATTTAATGTCAGTGAATAAAAATTAAATACAAGAGTTTTTATGCAAAGCTGCTTTGGCACATTTACAGACAGTATTGTGATCATTAGATTCAAATCAGGGACATTTTTAAAAATATTGCATGTTGTGCTAATTGAGCATCACCCTCAACATCCCAGTGTTCAACTTACTCTGTAAAAGGCTCTGTCACACCAGCATCTAAAACAGCCAAATGTGGGAGTAAAGAGTCTCCACAGAGCAAGGGTGGTTCTAGTTCCTCAACCAGTGAGTTTCTACATCTACATAAAGGTACAGTGTGCAAAATATCACCACTAGATGTCAGTAGATTGCAGGAAATTGTAATCAAACTGCTGATCAGATGGAAAGTGTGATTTTTAAGACATTTGAGCCTAACATTAGCGAGCATAAGGTTAGCTTATAACCAGCTGCTATTGTTTAGCTGACTTGTTTTTACTTGATAAGTAATTTAAAGAATTAAAAAAAAATAGCATTGTGTATATTTATTTCAGTGTTTATTTAAGAATTAAACATTCTTTTTTTTAATTAAATAACTTAAAAAATTATGGTGCCAAAGTCACTTCAATCAGGTAAATCTGCAGAACTTTTGTAATGGAACATTTGGCTTTGAGTTTAGATGCTTTGATTTCTAAATGTCTATATGGTATTAGAAGTCAGTATTGTAAGCATAGTTTGATCCACAAACTATATATTAACGACTAATGTAGTTTACTGGTCAAAAAAGTACATCCAATGTGGATGTAGCTGCATTATTTTTAATTACCACCAGGGGGTGACTCGTGTGGTTGCAAAAATAAGACTAGAACTCTGTGGGGAAAAGGGTTCTTTTCTGCCTTGATCTTGATATGATCACAATAATGACTTTTATGACTTTTATGCTTTAAACATTAATTTAACTTAAATTTAACTTTAACTTTTATTTATTAGCAGGGATAGGCATTTACATCAAAAATAGAACTTCATATTTACTGGTCTCCTTTTGACGATTCGTTGACAACTGCCAACCCCAATCTTCTTTCACATGATTGTGCATAGTTGCAGTAGACTTGCACCATGCTAACTTTACCTTGTGTTTGCCCTGGTCCACATTGATGTTTTAGAACATTTTGACAGAGTTTCTAAGTAGTGGTGGGATTTCCAGCTCTTTTCGGCTCCGAACCGCGCCTAGCATCCTGGAGCACTTCTGTTGTGTTTTGTACGTGTTTTGGAGTTTTTACGTGTTTTGGAGTTTGTACATGCTTTGTCTCTAGGTGCCACCGTAAATATACACAGCAAAATCTCCAGTGTTAAATTAACACTAGAGAGTGCCTATATGGGTCCACACCTCTGAGTGTTAAATACAACACTGTTGAGTGTTAAATTAACACTTTTGACAGTGTTATATGTTTAAAAGTAACCTAGTCAGTTTTGAAGATTAACAATGGCTAACACTGAGCAGTGCTGATTTTCTAACACTGGAAAATAACTCAAAATGTTAGAAATATTCCAGTGTTAGCAAACCAGCACTGCTCAGTGTTAGCCATTGTTAATCTTCAAAACTGACTAGGTTACTTTTAAACATATAACACTGTCAAAAGTGTTAATTTAACACTTTTCAGTGTTGTATTTAACACTCAGAGGTGTGGACCCATATAGACACTCTCTAGTGTTAATTTTACACTGGAGATTTTGCATTTATTTATTCACTCCACATAAAATGTAACAAATAAATCATATAATACAAAAAACAACTATTCACATTTCAACTTTTAACTATTTAAATTTTCAGCTTTTTCCTTTTAAACAAATTTAAAGTGAAACAACACAAAACACTGCAAACCACAACACAATTAAATACAAATTAAAATATGAAAAAAAGAACATGCATATTCTCTGTCATATGGGCCTGCATGAATAAACTTTCTGAATCCTTTATCATCTGCAACTGAAAATAGTTGTGGATGATTACTACACCTTTCTAATGTGACGTTGTTGTCTCTTTCTCTCTCTCTCCCTCCTACTCTATTCCTGTGGGAGTGTAACTACTGCCCCTCCCCCCTCTTCCCAGCACAAAGCACAAGGCTCCCGTGAAGTGGGAAAAAAGTGCGAGAGAGAGGGTGAGAGAAAGAAAACAAAACTTATGGCTAGTGATAAGGATCAAATGATCCGGCTCTAAGAGCCGTTTCTTTCGCGACTATTTCTATCACTATTTCTAATCCACTAACGCCACCTTCTGGTTGTAGAGGTGCATTGCAAATTGAATGGTAAATGGGCTGATTCTTATATTGCGCTTTTCTGCTCTTCCAGAGGACTCAACGAGCTTTATACAACATGCTACGTTTTTAAGTGCTTTCTAGCTAACATTCAGCTCCACATTCATACAATTTAGGATTTAGCAACTTGCCCAAGGATATTCGACATGCAGACTGGGGCAGCCGGGGAGTGAACCACCAACCCTCCAGTCAGTAGATGACCTGCTCTACCTCCTGAGCTACAGTGACCCCACATGCTGGTAAAAACAAAGGATTTTAATAACTAATAAGTGCTTTTGATTTAGGTTTCTAGCTTTCATGTTTTACAGGGATGATCAATTGTGCTTTTTGTGCCTAGACAAGTCAACAGGTTTTTGTGAAAAAGGTCTGTTGGTCATGGCACAAATTCTTGTGGCAAAGTTCATCATATCTGAATAGGTTACAGATTTTAAATGCTGCCGTTACACACATTTTCATTTGTTTTAAATGGGCAGCCAAGCAATTTCCATGGGCAAGAAGCATTAAAGAAAATATTAATTAATTGGCAAACAGAGCAATAATCTCTATACAGAACTCTCTATTTCATCTGAAATACATCATAGTTTTGTCTTTCTTGTTTTATTTCAAACTAATCTTTATTATAAGACCATAAGTGGTGCAAGTCTTCTTTATGCACGTCCAAGTAACTATATAGATATGCATGTGCTTTTCTAATGGAAAATACATTTGTGCTGCTATACTGGTGTGGTTATATTAATATATATAATATCCTGATAGTATACTGCACCTTCAGCTTCTTAGACAATTTATTGTGTTTTGAAATAAATCTGAACATTTAAGTGGCATTAATCATCAGGTTACCCTCAGTAACCTACACAGACCTAATGTTGTTTTAGAATTTACCACCAGTAATTAGAATATATCACTTAAAAAGGGCATTTGGGTTGTTGCTATGGCCCTTCAAACTGTGATTATCTTGTTTCCTTTATTTGCTCTTAAGTTGTAGCTAAGAGTAAATAAACTGCCTCCAGTCTGCCTGCAGTAAACTGATTTTGCCTGATAGATTTTAGAAAGAGAGAAAAAGAGCTCTGCGTCAGTGTATGTAACTCTCTGGTGACAAGGGCATAAAACTATTTTTAGCACTCTGAACGTGAATGTGACTACAGCAGCCTTAATTCCCGTGAATAGAAACAAGTTTAAAACAACCAAAACTCAAACTGAGAAAGTAAACAGAAAGTACCTTGGACAGCAAGGTGACTATAATCACTGTAAGTGAGGATGGAGGATGATCAAGCATCTCTGAGGACACGCCCACTGAAGCAGCATTTTATTACTCTACTGTTTATTGTGTAGCTAATGGAGTGAAGGGAAAAAAATCAAGCATAGAGTAATTTCAGTAAAGTCATGAAGCTAAGGTTAGTTACTGACATGGCAGACCACAATGCTGGAATCCCTTCAGGACAAGACCTGTGGATAACTGTGGTGATAGCATTGCACAGATCTTTCTATCTGCTGTGACATATCTTAAAATGATTTACCAATAACTGTCCAAATCCAAGTATCCAAAACCAGAAGAGATTTATCTAAGAAGACTGGAGGCTGTATTTAATCTTTAAGAAGTTCATTGAAGTACAGAATTAAGGTTCTAAATAGTGTTATATTTCAAAACATCAAAAATGTGTTGTGCATTTGTTAATGTGGGATACTGAGTGAAGATTGATGAGAAAAATAAGGCAATATTTCCCTTTTGAATGTCTAAAAAGTGAGTGTAGGTATGAGCCTTTTACGACTTTTGGCTTTAAATGACTCAAGCAATATGAAGTTAATTTGGTTTTATTAATACTGGCTGTGGGATCTCGTAGAGTATAACATGCCATTGCTTTGTCTGTAGGAAAAAAAAACAAAATATGTAATTTTGTTCCAGTAATGTGGAAAATAACCGACCGGTATAAATGCTTTTTTTTTGTTCACACTGTAAACGCTTTGTATACCACAAAGGTCTGAGGTGTTTCATTGGTTCTTGAGGATTATTGAATTATGAAACACAAATGTCATGAACCTCACACTGTATGGAGTCAATTGAACTGATTATAGAGATCTGTAGAATTTTAGTACATAAAAAAACTACATAAAAACCTGTGTGGCTTGGCCCTGCTACGAAACACTCACACCCACGCGTTCATAGCAGGGTTTTCTGTCAAGATAGCAGCATGTTAGACGTCATCACGTGCCATTGTAAGTCATGGTGTTTTTTGTGTGTGCATGAAGGCATTCTGGGGGTGTTTGTCACATACACATACACAAGATGATCCCTGCCATCATAGCCTGGCATGCAGGTTGACAATAACGCCGTCCTCAGGGAGATCTTTGACAGGAAGGTCGCTCAAGTGTTCCATGCTATGGTCGGTGTTCTCGCAGCTGCTTTGTGGTGACTCTGGGGGAGGCTGGTACAGGATACTGGCTACCAGGAAAAAGATGGTCCCCAAAACCTGAAACAGAGGAGGAATAAAGATGTGAAAGAGATCAAAATATGACAAATTTGCACAACTAATTCAAAGTAACTGACATACAGTCGGTCACTGGAATGTCAAAAAATTAGCTATAGCATAGTAAAGTGATATCATTTTAATTGAAGACGTTTAACAAAATATTACACTAATCACTAAAGAATTATCTGCTATGCCTCCTCTGTGCCAATAAAATGAGTGGACAAAGCAAAAAATTAAGAATATTAATTAAACTAAAAAACAAACAAAAACAAAACTGAGAACACTGAAATGCTAATGTTGGTATAGTCAGAGGTTTATATACACTCATGGCTATGAATGTCAAGGAAAATTTGGCCTTTTAATGATTTCTTTAAACTGTTCTTTTTCTTTATTTAAGAGGATGATTCTGCATCATACATATTTAAAGACTTTAAAAAACAGGAATTGGGTGGAATACATATACATAGATTCACTTAAATCACGTGTAAGTGTTGCTTACAATGTATTTGAACTTGTCAAGGCCAATACCTATTAATATCCTGTTAGTGATTTTGATTGATTGAAAAATAGAAACTGTTATGAATAGTATTGCATGCAAAGTATGTTTGTTTTAAACTTAGCTACTTGGTTATCTTGGAAAATATTTAGTAACCCTATCTGGTTTTATATTTCATTTAAAAAAAAAAAAAACACTATAAAAACATAAACGGTTAAAAGACATTTGGGAGTGAAAAAAATCCGTCAAACAACCTGTTAGCCTATGAATCATGAATACCTTATAGAGGATTCCAGCTACTAGTGTGTACTGGCTCATGGCTGAATTGTGATAAAGGTAGCAGGATCCCTGCTCGCCACACTTATCCTGCCACATTAAGCAGGATAGGTCAATCACTGAGCCAAAAGCTATGGGTCCTGGAATACCACCTGCGAGAAGAAAAAAGAGACAAAATGGCAGAACATAAAGCATTTTGATTTTGCATGGGCATCTGTGTAAAAGTTAATCTAAATAAAGAATGCACTTGGCCTACCAAGTGTGCGCACTACAATCCACTGGATACCAAGTCCGAAGGATCTCTGACTGTCAGGTACACACCTATGGAGGGCAGGGTTAGCCAGACATATTAGAATCAGAAACAGAATACTTTATTAATCGCTAAGGAAATTATGTGGTTAGAGTTGCTTAGAGACAATAATAACAGTAGCACACTGAACTAAACAAATAATACAATAATTTATTAATTATCAATTTTATTTATAGAGTGTCTCAAGGTGCTTAAATGTATTATTAAAAATGTATTGTTTATTTTATTCGTCCGCTAGTCGAACCTCGGATACAGGAGGAACAATGCGGTTTTCGTCCTGGTCGCGGAACACTGGACCAGCTCTTTATCCTCTCCAGGATACTTGAGGGTGCATGGGAGTTTGCTCAACCAGTCTACATGTGTTTTGTGGACTTGGAGAAGGCATTCGACCGTGTCCCTCGGGGTGTCCTGTGGGAGGTGTTGCGGGAATATGGGGTGTCTGGCCCATTGCTACGGGCCATTCGATCCCTATACAACCGTTGCAAGAGCTTGGTTCGCATTGCCGGCAATAAGTCGGACTCGTTCCTGGTGGGTGATGGGCTCCGCCAGGGCTGCCCTTTGTCTCCGGTTCTGTTCATAATTTTTATGGACAGGATTTCTAGGTGCAGCCAAGTGGCGGAGGGCTTTCGCTTTGGTGGCCTCAGAATCTCATCTCTGATTTTTGCAGATGATGTGGTTCTGTTGGCTTCATCGGGTGAGGGCCTCCAGCTCGCACTGGAACGGTTCGCAGCCGAGTGTGACGCAGCGGGAATGAGGATCAGCACCTCCAAATCTGAGGCCATGGTTCTCAGCCGAAAAAGGGTGGAGTGCCCACTCCGGGTCGGGGATGAGTTCCTGCCCCAAGTGGAGGAGTTCAAGTATCTCGGGGTCTTGTTCGCGAGTGATGGGAGAAGGGAGCCGGAGATCGACAGACGGATTGGGGCTGCAGCTGCAGTAATGCGGACGCTGCACCGGTCCGTCATGGTGAAGAGGGAGCTGAGTGTAAAAGCGAAGCTCTCAATTTACCGGTCGATCTACGTCCCTACCCTCACCTATGGCCACGAGCTGTGGGTAGTGACCGAAAGAACGAGATCGCGGATACAAGCGGCAGAAATGAGATTCCTCCGAAGGGTGGCTGGCCTCTCCCTTAGAGATAGGGTGAGAAGTTCGGACATCCAGGAGGGGCTCAGAGTAGAGCAGCTGCTGCTCCACATCGAAAGAAGCCAGCTGAGGTGGTTCAGGCATCTGAAAAGGATGCCCCCTGGGCGCCTCCTGGGTGAGGTGTTCCAGGCATGTCCCACCGGGAGGAGGCCCCGGGGCAGACCCAGGACACGCTGGAGAGATTATATCTCTCGGCTGGCCTGGGAACGCCTTGGTATTCCCCCGGATAAGCTGGAGGAGGTGGCTGGGGAGAGGGAGGTCTGGGCCTCTTTGCTTAGGCTGCTGCCCCCGCGACCCGGCCCCGGACAAAGCGGATGAAGATGGATGGATGGATGGATGTTTATTTTATTCACCAATTCAAATTATACTAGAACTTTGTTAAAGATAGACAGTTTAAGAAATACTTTGAAGCTTAGAGCTCAAATGAATGACATTAATAAATGAAACAGAGTGTGATACATATTTAGTACATTCAGAGGTTTAAGTGTGGCCACCTACCTGAGTGTGGCAGTGAGTGCTGGGATGCTACAAAGGAAGGTGAAGCTGATAATGATGAAAAGCAAGGAGAGGAAGGCTGGCATGTGATGGCAAGAGCTGCCACACTTCCCTGCCAGAGCGAAGCCTTCCTCATCCCATGACACATTACCCACCACACAGCTACATCCAGAGTACACCTAGAGGCGAAAACATAAGCCAGATATAAATGTATAATGTATAACTGCTGAAACACACTTCAGTCTCTACATACAGTGGGCTATATAGTTATTGAACACGTTGCCAGTTTTCTAAGTTAATTTCTAAACATAATATTGACATGAAATTCTCCCCAAATGTTGATAACAACCCAACCAAATTACACGTGCAAGAAATCAAACCATATAGATGTCCATAAATTAATATATGTGTGTAATAATGAGAATGGACACAGTCCATGAACATGCTTACTACTATGTATTTAATACTTCATACATAAGCCTTTGTAGGAGATGATGGCTTTAAGACACACCCTGTATGGAGAAACTGGTCACATGCATTGCTCAGGTGTGATTTTGTAGTTTTCGTTAACTTTATCTGTATTGTTATTTTAAGGTTGGAACTGACTCTTAAAGAGCACATTGTGACATTGTTTCCCTTTGTGTGTCCCCTCTATGTTGTCTTGCAGGTCCCTGGTAGGAACTGGACAATCTTTGCTTCTATCAACACCCGGCCTGTCTTCTCTTTCTTTTTGGGATATCTTCTGATGTATTACTTTAGGTAAATAAAACCTTATATTTACTCTATCATTCAAACACCTATCTGACTGCTGATAGCACACAAACCAAGGTTAGGTAAAGTATAATGTTAAGGTTCTTTTTGTAGGCAGGTGGATATTGGTTAGGCTTAGGCACCAAAGTTACTTTGACTAGTTCAGAGAAAGATTGTGGTTTGAGTAAAAATATAACAAGTTGGAACCCTTTTAACTGTTGCATCACAGGAACACTAAAGAGCATCTTGTGCACATCTCTGGGACACCAGTGGATTTGACTAAACAGCAGAGAATTTTTATCATAAAAATCAGAATAATCATTTATAAATATATTATGAAGTATATAAAATCTTGTATCTATCCATGTAATCAGTATGCAGTTATTCTCTTTTAAGTCTCTTCAAAGATATGATATAATCCTAAACATTGTACATAATTTCATATTTGCAATATTTTTTTTTGCATCTCTGTCAATAAAATGCACTTTTTGCACTGCAGTAAGTGGCTCTGCTGCAAAATTCAGCTTTTATTCTAAAATGTATCAATGAAAGTGAGCCACAGAGGATTGTGCATTTTTCTGCTCCTGAGTTTGAAATAATTGTAAAATAACTCAATATTTCAAAACAGTCAGATTGCATCATTTCTGCAAAAGAAAAGATTTTAGCTTATCAGACACATGTGTATCACAAAGCCATCCCCTGTAAAAGCTCAGGCTTTCTGCTATTTCCCAATCTGTCTAAAAAATATGGTGTAATTTCCCCTGTGAGCAAAGTGTGAGCGATACCTGTTTGCCCGTTGAGAGTTGGGTGTGGTTAATGGAGGTGCAGCCAGCATGGCAAGGGGAGTAATACATCACACCGTCTGCCCCACACACTGGGTTGTAGAGCTCTCTGACACAACTACAGCCTGCATTACAGCCCACATCTAAGGAAGAGCTGCAGTTAGGAGGGAGAGAAAGAAGGACAGAAATGAGAGGAAACAAATGAGGGGAGAGCGTGATAGAACTGATGAGGATACATCACTAGAGCTCAGTATTAGAATGAACCACTGATTACTGTTCCAGTGATTGATGCTCACAATAAACAAAGCAAGTTAAATTGCAAAGTTTTTCCTTACACCGAGCCAAAAGAGAAAGCCACAAAGTCTAAACGTTTTCTAAACTCTTGGTTTCAGATTGTTGTTCTACTTTTTGTTCTATGTAAGAGGATAAATGTCATATAAACAGCTCTGTCTGCAAGCACAGAAGACTTCCAATCTGCTGATCAAACATTCTGTCAAGGCCAGTGAGAAGAAAGCTCGCTTACAGGAGCAATGTGCCCATTGATAAATGGGTGTGTGGAGATTAAGTAAAAAGAAACTGTTAACTACAACTAGTGTTTCTGCATGTACTGAAGCCGTACACATGCCCAGGGTACATTAGTCTTGGCCTTGTGTCCATCTGCAGAGTACAATACATCCTAAGTGGTAAAGCACAAATCCCCAATCTAATTAACCCTATAAGTTCAGAGTCATCATTGGAGTTAACCTGAACCTAAGAACACTTTGCAATCAGAAAATGTAATTTTACTTTTGATTAAACTGTTCTCCTAAGTCTTGGCAATCAAGGGACAAAGAAGATAATCATTCTAATGTATCTGCCTGACATCCCTCTCATTCAGATCAGTGATTATAATGGTTGGACTTGGATTTTTTAAAAAGGCCTATCAGAATGTCTGTGGACAATATCCCAATGCTTTGCAAAGGTATCTTACTTTCCTGGAACTAAAGCAATACTTATATTCACTGGGTGAGTAGGCAGCAAGTGCAAGAACATCTAAAATAATCTCTGATATGGCTGGATGGTGTGGCACTGAGAAACATTGTGGTAAAAGATATCCAAATGAAATATGATTGGATTTATATTTAATTCAATTTCAATTCAATTTTATTTATATAGTTGCAAATCATAGCAACAGTTGCCTCAAGGAAGGTGAATCCCTGCAAAAAAAGAGAGGAAACCCCATCAGACGACGCCCTAGGAGCAAGCACTCCATTAAGCAGGAAGGGAAAATCTCCCTTTTAACAGGAAGAAACCTCCAGCAGAAACAGGCTCAAGGAGGGGGAACCATCTGCCATGACTGGTTAGGGGTGGGAGGGGGAAGTTTTATGGATTTATCGTAACATTTAATATTATATTAAATGCTTTTGTTAATATTTAATAAGTTAATATTTATTAAAAGCAGTAATACTATATAACAGCCTTTTATTTTAAGGTAGCAATTTTTGTTTCCTTCTTAAATCTAAAGGGTAGCTGGCTTATTCCACTGCACTGCAGCTCAACACAAACAAAGTCCCTGTTTACATTTACACTGATATAAAACTTTTCTGCTCATTTGAAGCTATAACATGACAGTGAACACAATTTACCACAGTGCACCAATACTTCAAGTGTGACTTAAAGTCCAAAGTAATTTCTGGCCAGATATAATTAATTTGGTATTTGCTGGCTTGTGTTCACATGGCAGCAGTAAAGAGGAACCACGAGGGAGGAACTTCAGAGAAAACATTACCTAGCACAGAGACTGTGAGCTGAATGTAAAACTTACCTGGTCAGATCTGACAGACAGGTACATTAACCTCTTGTAGAATAAAACTAACAACAGTCAGAACCAATTTAACTTAAAGAAATCATAACTAAAATAACGAGTTCTATACACAGCTTACCTGTTTCTGAGATACAGTTTACTTGGGCTGTCATACACATTTTTGTACAGGTCCAGTTGCTGTTTAGTCTTCAGACCAGACTGGTAAGGCACTGTGACACCAGCCATGGGCACATTGGGGCAGTGGATGACAAAGATGAAGATGGCGAGCAGACTGACCATGGCACACATCATGCAGAAGCGGATGATACCTCGACACCGCAGGTTCAACTTCTTTACAATGTAGCCACCCAAGAAGGTGCCCCCACCTCCTGCTGGTACCACCATATATCCTGAGAGAAAAAGAATAAAAGCATAACGGATCAATGTTGTTGATATATGAAAGAGTCCCATCTGTCCAACAGAGGAGCAAGACCTCCAGACTTAAAGAGGCATAAAATGATCCCAAACCATGAACCATGTAATATTTATGCCATCTGTAGTCTTTTGGGGGTATCAGGGAGAAATGTGATCATGTTGTGCTGCTCGTTGTGGAGGAAAACTGATTGATGATAAGCATTGACAGCCCGGGATTAGTAAAGAGGTAGTGAGGGCAGCTATGAAGAGGATGAGTGGAAAGGCAGCCTGTGGAGGTATGCAGATATGAAGGAGAGAAAGCAGTGGACTTTTTTATTAGATTGTTTAACACAATACTGGAGAGTGACAGGATGCCAGAAAAGTGAAGAAGAAGTGTGCGAGTACCAATTTTCAGGAACAATGTGCAGAGCAAGTGATGTGCAAAACTGCAGTAATGCTGATGATAAGATAAGATAAGATAAGATTAGATAGAACTTTATTAATCCCTCGGGTGGGTTCCTCTGGGAAATTCGATTTCCAAAAAAGCACAGCACCGACAGAAGTTACAGAGTTACAGAATATTATATATATACACACACACACACACACACACACACACACACACACACACACACACACACACACACACACACACACACACACACACACACACACACATATATATAAATACAGAGACAATATAAATAAAATATACGAAGGGGATAAATAGAATAAATAGGAATAAAAAATAAAAATACAAGTGAATTGCACATTTCAAGTATTGAGGTCTATTGCACTGTTGACTATTTACAAAAGTATTGCACAAAAGGTATTGCACAGTGAGGTGAAGAGGCACTACAGCTTAGTTGTTCCCCCCTCCTTTGTCCTCCTGTTTCCCCTCCCTCTCCCCTCCAGAGAGGAGTTAAACAGTCTGATGGCGTGTGGGACAAAGGAGTTTTTAAGTCTGTTAGTTCTTGTCTTGGGAGAAGCAACCTGTCACTGAACAGACTCTTCTGGTTGTTAATGGCCGTGTGCAGAGGATGCCTGGCATTGTCCATAATGTCCATCAGTTTCTTTAATGTCCTTTTCTCTGCCACTGTCACCAGAGTGTCCAGCTTCATGCCGACCACAGAGCTAGCCCTCCTGATCAGTTTCTCCAGCCTGGATGAGTCCTTCTTTGCTGTGCTGCTCCCCCAGCACACCACAGCATAGAAAAGTACTCCAGCAACCACCGACTGGTAAAACATCCTCAGGAGCTTCCTGCAGATGTTAAAAGACCTCAGCCTCCTGAGGAAGTACAGTCGGCTTTGGCTTTTTTATACAGGTGCTCTGTGTTGCATGACCAGTCCAGTTTATTGTCCACCCACAGCCCGAGGTACTTGTACTTGTTGACCACCTCCACCTCCTCCCCCTCTATCTGAACCGGCAGTGGACCTGCTCTAGACCTCCCGAAGTCCACAACCAGTTCCTTAGTCTTTGAGGTGTTGAGTTGCAGGTGGTTTGTATGACTCCATGCGACAAAGTTGATGATCAATGAATAGCAGTAAGCAGCAGTAAACAGATTCATTTAAATGTCTGGGGTCAACCAACCAAAGCAACAAATAGTGGAAAAGAGAAGTGAAAAGGAAAGAGCAAGCAGCGTGGAGTAGGTGGAGATGAGTATCAGGGTGGATTTGTGCAAAATAGTGAAACGGTGGCACTGACAAAAGGGTGTGCAGACTGTGATCAGCTGACCTGTGCTGCAATTTCCATAGTCAGGGGTCTATGTGGATTTAGTCAACTGAATTCAACTAGATGTAAAGAGATGTTTCACTAGCTTTGTGGCCGATTTCCAGATATTACGAAAAGGGAGAAATGGTAAGTGAATCAAATCAGCATCATCAATTGATGTCTTCTAACCTTGATGTCAGCCAGCGACAACACCCTAGATCAGGGGTGTCGAACTCCAGGCCTCGAGGGCCGGTGTCCTGCAGGTTTTAGATCTCACCCTGGGTCAACACACCTGAATCACATGATTAGTTCATTACCAGGCTTCTGGAGAACTTCAACACATGTTGAGGAAGTAATTTAGCCATTTAAATCAGCTGTGTTGGATCAAGGACACATCTAAAACCTGCAGGACACTGGCCCTCGAGGCCTGGAGTTTGACACCTGTGCCCTAGATGCAACCAGTCCACCACAGTGCATCACTGTAAACTTTGGCAGTAATTAGTTTGTCTGGTATTTTCATGCACCTTTGAATAACACAAAATCATATACATCAATTTGGTTTGTACGACCTTTCAGAATTGTTTTTTTTCTACCTGGGAGATACAACAACTATACAGTTATCTCCAAGACACATTATGTGACAAACTACACAAAAACTATTGATGTGTTTGGTGACATTTGTTAGGCTGTTTGGATGCTGGAACGCCCTTCTGGATCATTCTGACCTACTTTAAACCCTGACAATACAGTTGACTTGAATGTTGGAAAGCTACCAATGCTGACACAGGTTTACTAGGTAATTAATAACTAGTTGGCTAACTGCCCTGTACTATAGACAGTAAGTGTTCTACATTTTGACCTGTGAATCATACACCGTGAGTATCATACCATTTTATATTACGTGATTAATATTCTGAATCACATTCTGCAGTAATTTAAAAGTAGAATGAAAAATATGCAGCTTTTATATTCAGATATGAGTTTGCCAAGAAAGATACTCAAAGTAATTACAAATGGCTTATTAAATTATGAGATTAACTCTAGAATTAATAGCTGACCTTGTTTACTAAATTCAGTATTTTACTTTGTGAGAAACTTGCAGTTATAGTTTCAGCAGAGGTGCTAACATTTCCCAAAGGTAAGATTGGATTTGATCGCCAAAACCAAACGATCCCTCCATGATATCATTCTACAGCAGGTGACAGTAGTTTTCCCTTTATTGTCAAATTGCTCTTTAGCCTAGCATATTACATTCAGTAAAACAGTATTGTTCCTTGTTTCTCTTTAACATTGTTACTAGCAAAAACTACTATCTGACCTATATGATATTTTGGATTTTTTTGTATTCATTTTGTATTCATGTAGATGTTGTGCTGCATTTGTTGACCTTCTAGACTATGATTATCTAGTATCCTCTCTTACTAGCAGTTTATGTATGGCACTGACAAAAGGGTCAGTGCCACCAGCATAGGAGGCACTAAGGGAACGGTCTATGATTGAACAAAAGCACCTAAAATTTCAAATTTTCACAAAAAAATAGATCCTCTCTTTTAGATCAGTGTTATTTCACAAGCTGTTGTGAAGATTTTCTAAGGTTCAATAAATAAAGTAATAAAATGAGTTAAATGCATAGCGAAAGTTGCCCATGTGATGGGCCTCTTTACTTTTCACTCACCAAACCATGTGGCAGCCTCTGATGCACTGAGACTGAACTGTGATTCCAAGAACTTTGGACCAAAAGTGGACATGCCAGCAATGAGGGTGGCCTCAGTAGCCCCAGCCAAGCACAGGAACAGGAAGGTGGGATTTTTTAGGAGAAGCAGCACAGATCTGGAAATACACAGTAAGAGAGAGAGGGTGAGAGTCAGGGGGCATCGATGTGTGAAGCCACTGTGACTAAACAAACCTGAGCTTCCTTTTTCATTAATGCACCCTGCTCTAATCGCAAGATGTTCTTAATATAGAGCAGATACACACTGCTGTAAATCCAAAGACATATAATCAAGTTACATAACGTATCATGTAACTCTCTGTAATCTCCACAGAGACAGAGTAATAGATGCGATCACAGTAAGCTCATAGTATATATGGTTGTGAAATGGAAAGGAGCAATACTGTCACTCATTTGTGCTGTTCTGCATTCATAGCTGCCTGTCGTTGCTTTAGGATGACAGTAAACTTATTAACATTAAGGTTTTCTGTGACATTTTAGAGGTGAATTTGCATGGTGAACTAATCCTTGCATAAGCCACACTGATAAACCTGAGCTACATAATGCCAATGAGAAACAGCAGTAAAACCAGTACCAATGGTAAGAGAGCCCACATGTGGTTCGAGATGTCTGTCTCCCAGAACAGCAACATGGGGCTTAGGTTGAAAGCACTGCAGGCTTTATTAAAAGTAATAATTGCTACATGTAACAAACTAAAAACTAAAACGAATTAATCTGTATTCTCTAAAGAAAACAATATGTTTCTGATTTATCTAACGCATGGTTCTTTTGTTAAGCCAACTAGCCACTTTTCATGTAAAGAAACAAGGAGATGCAAACAATAGTTTGCATTGGAAAAAAGTGGAGGCTCTTTGCAGCAACAAAACAGATTTTACATTAATCCTTTTAACAGTCTAGTTATTAGTTTTTAGCCATTTAGAACCACTATTCCCAAATGGGATTTGTTTGTTTATCAGGATGATTAAGCTAGAGGTTATGGATGCATTTGCAATATTCTTTTTTCTGTACCAGGGGTTGCTTAGAAATTATTAATCTTAGTGCTGATCAGTACATTCCTAAGTGAAACAAACTAATCAAGATACAGATATCCTTCGGGATCCTGCTGCTTAATCACAGCACTGTGAGGACAGAGGTTTTAGCCTTGGTAGAGGTTTGTAATAGTGAACAGTTATTTATTTAAGTGGTGTATATTTGGGCATCATCAGTGTAAAAGTGGGAAGCTGTAATACAGAAGTGGACCCAGAGGTAAAGCATGTCACAGGTCAGTGAAGCAGTGTTGGAAGAATAGTTACCAATGGTGATGGAAACGTACAGCTCAGGGTAGTACTAAAAATACCAATACATTACTCCGGATGATGAGGCAAGTGAGATCTTGTGGTTAAATGCATCAAATGCAGCAGTGAGATCCAGTAATATGCATGCAGCAGATTCATCAGCATGAAAAATGGCAATGGAAATGGCAATGGAAATTATTCATACAGCATTTTTCATTACACATAAACTCAATGTGCTCAACATAAAAGATAAAAAACAAAACAATGAAGCAAACTGTACAAAGTAATAAAATGCAATTTAGAATAGAAACTAGACGAGGTCGTGAAAGCATTTATTTCTTGAAGCTCTCTACCTTGGCATGTCTTTAACTGATTTGCCAAACTGAGGGTCTGAGGCAGTGGTGTGGCTTCCATCCTTAAGTTGGTGGGCCTCAGACACACGCATGGTCACATACTCCTGAGAGCCTGCAGGAAGACACAGAAAAGTAAGAGTGAGGCTGTTTCGAAAATATATGGTATTTTACATACCAGAGTACCACCTAATGTATTAGTCAGTGTTTTTTTAATGCCCTCTCTGTTATAAAGAAGACTGGCCATGGCCATTGCTGGCACCTGGTAGTTGCCGTGGGTAGCCCAGGATGGGAAATGCCACCAGCAGAGCGGCTGCTCCTCCTGCTAAAAAGCCAATCCACCAAGCCCCAACCCAGTGAGGGTTCTCTGGCGTCATCTCAGGCCTGGAACATCACGCACATATGATTAAACACATTTATAGAATCAGAATCAGAATATTGTATTGATACCCGATAAATTATGTGCTCACAGTTGCTCCAAGACAGTAAGAATAGTACCTGACTAAACTAAATTAAATAATACAATATATTACAAAGTTACAAAATATAACAAAATAGCTCTAATATATACAAACAGCTAAAATATAACATTCCCAGTATATAACACTAATTAAATATATATGGTTGAAACTGAGATGCCTCTCTTATCAAACTGTAAAACGTTTCTTATTTTCTCTGTAGAGGATCTGCAATAAAGGTGTGCAACTGCTGCAGTGCGCACTTGTGCATTAGCTGGAGGAGTTGTATGAGAGATATGCACAGGCAGGAATGAACCACTTGACCTTTAAAGAGGCAGATCTCTAAAGCATCTTGTAATGAGACAGTATTGTTCTATTGTGTATATTTTTATTCTACATTCTCCCATTGTCTATTTCATATCACAATATTTGACTCTATTCCACATTCTGCATGTCAGCTTTTGTTTATTCCCAGTTTAGTAATCTGTAATTGGTTTTAGTACATTGCATTCTAGTCAGTGGTTTTCTAAATCATTATTTTGGCCATTTTAGCCTTTATTTATATATTGGAAATGACAGTAAGGTAACTAGGTGAGAGGATAAGGGGCACTCTCCCTAGTCTTGCCCTGTAGACTAGAACCCAGGCCCTTGCAGGCCTTACCTATGTGAGGTAAGCCATAGCAGTGCCCCGACTCAGTTCTATTCTATTATACTGATCTCATTTCTTTTTGAGTCAGTTATCCTTGTCCATGGTACCAACCAAAGCAGACTCACGTTAGATGGATCTCAGTGTACATGTTGAGGAAGTAACCACCCAGCAGGTAACCGGCTGCTGGACCCACAATGGCTGCTGTGTAGAAGATCCCTAAGGGGAGGGGGGGAAGACCATAGACACAGAGCAAGGGTGTGTCAGTACAATGACTCCAGCGTCTACCTCCTGTTTCCTACTTACTCTTCCTGTCCTACAGGTTAAAAGGGCCATTGTTCTTTATATGGGCTCTGCATCTAGAAAATTTCCTGTTGTGTTTGTGTGTTTTCATAAAAGCAATGTGCTCTGCTGTTATTTGAAAGAGAATGATAGCTAAATGCTGAAAAGGGGTCATGACAGGAGCCTAGAGGGTCAAATTTACAAGACTTGCAGTAGATGGCATCAGACAATGACAGTGCTCAATATGTACATTTGAGGCACATTAGCTGCGTTTACCAAACAAGCCCTTTTATCTATATCCAGTTCCTTCTTAATAGAGATTATACTGGATGGTTGCTGGTAATAAAATTATTCTGTGGAAGAGGGACAGAGACTGATAAAAGAAGGTAGACAGCTGGTGAAAGAAGTCGTGCTGTAACCGTGAGAGTATATATCTGTTCATGCACCTGCATTAGCATGTGATGCTCAAACAAAAGTCTACATTTACATTGAGCTAAACAACAGATATATTTGAGCCTGCACCTGCAAAAGAATTATTGCTAAAAGACACAGCTGGGATTGTGTTCAGTGCCTGCTGTTTGCATATGCATTCTCACTATTCTATTTAATCAAAGCTCTGTCAAAATAATTAATCTTCAGAGAGAGTTATCACTGTCCAGCTGACAAAATGAGCCAAGCAGCACATGAATCAGCACAACTATGGCCTTAAACCTTGTATCATTTAAAAAATGCGGGAATTTAACAAAGAGTCATCAGTTTAACAAAGATGATGGAAGATCAACATAGAGCTGCACAACTGATGGAACATATATCATTGTGATTTGATGTTTAATCAGTTGATTCATTTATGAAAAAAACTAAACAACAACCAATCAGTTAATAAGCTAATAAATTATTCAAATAATTTTTCAGAGAGAGTAGTGGTTTGAATTTTTATTAATTCTCAAATTTTGATGGTTTAATATATCTATTAAATAATCAATTTATTATCACAATTTCAGTCCCATATTTCTAAAATGACCAAGTCTCTCTAGAAAAACGTCTTGGCACTCATCTTGGCATGAACTCGCATGTTCCCCCCCCTCCACAGATAGGAATAAGCACCTGTCTAAATGAATAAGCTGGCCACTGAAATATAAAATGTAGGTATGGTACATTTTAGTTTCTGGTAAGCTACTACTGCTACTACTACTTTACTATTGTAATTAATAGTTATCCCCACTACCTAACAGTTGAAGCTATTATTTAACTGATGAATGACTTTCTGGGGTAATCCCAGGAATGCTGCATCTTTACTATTTTTTCAGGGACTATAATGTCAAATGCTTGGCATGAAATGAGAGAGATGACAACAGTATGGTTTTTTTTTACATTTTTTGGCATAAATTATCATCAATCATAAATAAATGAATAAGGTTATAGTAAATAATCAACTGCAAAAAAAACAGATAAAGAAGAACAGTCTGCTTGCTGCCATTTCTGGTGACTGTTACAAGTAGGACTCACCTATATAAACTGGTGCATAGTTGGAGTTGACATTCTCATCCAGGTATGTGACCCCTAATGTGTAGAGAGGCGTAGCGCCCATACCATGCAAAAACTGGCCAAGCATGAACACAAAGCGATAGCTGGACAGTCCTCCTGCCTCTTTGTTCTGACACGGGCTGGTACGGTTAGTAGAGCACATTCCTGTTTGCTCGGGTAAACTGACCTGGTAGGGAGGTGTAGTAAAGTGAGGCAAGGCAAACATCAGAGAACCCAGTGCCATGATAAGTACTCCCCATCCCAGCCAACGGGGCTTGTGACCTGTACCACCGAAGTAACTGACAAAGGCCAGGCAGACGCATGCAGCAATGTCATAGGAACTGGCGATGAGGCCAGCCTGGTAGCTGCGCAGATCAAAGCGTCGCTCGATTGAGGTGATCACTGTGTTAATGAAGCCATTGATTATCATCCCCTGGAGGAAAGAGGCCACACAAAGGAAGAACAACACCCACCGAGGAGTGTTGAAAACTTGGATGCTTTTGGGGGTCAGAGCTCCCCAGCCACACAACTGATCTGTGTTAGTAGAGATTAACTTTAGCCCAATCTCTGCATTAGGTCTTGTTTCCCCCCCATATATTGGCCCAGGGAGTGCCGATGCCCCGGTGAAAATGAGTGGCTCATTAGTAATGGGACTGTCAGGGTTTCTGAGACCAGAGCCTATGGGGCTGCCTGTCTGGGAATCCACAGGACTAGGGGTGTCCAAAGAGGGGCCTCTGCTGAGAGGACAATCCTGCAGGTCCAGGAGCTCCTGTTTGGAGCTAAAAGAGGCGTCGGCATTTAGCAAGACGGGCATCGCCCCTCTGAGGGGCACTGTGAGGATCCTGTGAAGTGGATTCTATGAACTGAGGCAATAAATCAATTACCTCAACAACAAAAAAAAAGGAAATTTGAAGTAATAAAGGGTCAAGAAGATATTGTGGTAAGGCCAGGTTCTTCTTGGAAATTATCTATTCTTGCTTTGTAGTTTGCACCTCATGTGTCCACGGCTCTTCGTGTGCTCCTTTTTATTTGCACAAGGTTGCATATGGTGTAAAGATGGCTTTGTTACTGTGATGAGTAATAGCATCCTGAGGAGAGAAAAGAAAAATTAGATAGATTAAATAAAGAAACAACCAACTTTTGTAAAGATTTAATGCATAAAGAAGTCATCATTAGAATTTATGTACAGGCCTCAGACACTGTGACCTAGACTGATGCTTCATATTTTACCAAATGTATAAAAACACATACATACATATCTCTACATGGGCATTAAATAATTCCTGGCATTACCACCGCATTGTTTAAAGAACAGTTTTGCCTTTTAACATTATGCTGGTACAAAGACTCCTCTAACTGTGAGTCGATTGAAGCATTATTATCAAGCATTGCACCCAATCTCAGAGTCTTACACATACAGGGAACTCATAAAACCTCAAAGTGCACACTGCTAATGAACCATAAGCATTGTTACTTTGCTCTAGTAATCACAAATAGAGCTTTCATAATCACCATCATGAAAATACTGTGCAGGTCTATTTGTTGCATAACAACAACACAACAACACAAGTGTGTATTTGATCTATTATTGCAATCTGAAAGCTCATTTTCACTGATGTAATGTATTTATTTAGATTACTTTCTTTCATTGTGAAGTACAATGTGGAACACTAGAAACTCAATGTCCACTTGTCACAACACAAAACAAGCAGCCTTACTGACCTTCAGGGGGTCATATTTGACAGTGACAGTGATAGAGCTTAATTGGATGCATAAACAAAACAGAAGAGATTTACTGAGAAATAAGAAAACAGTTTGGTCAACATATTAAATACATGCAGTACAAGCAAAGTTCTCGTTAGTTTTCCCACTCAAAGCTTGGACTCCAAGATTTACCCATCGTACGTTTTGGAGTGGCAGCTTAGAAACATCTGAACAGTGAGTTTAACTGAATGCAGGAATAGCTTCTGAGCATGATCTGATGATGCTAACCTCTGAATGTTGGTTTAGTAGCACATCAACAAGTTTACTCCACCTTTCTAAGTTGTCATTATTGTGTCACTTTTATGTATCGTCAGCCTTAACAAGTGAAAGATGAAAAGGCATTTTGTTCAAGTTGTGAAAAGATTTATAGAAAGAGAACTCTTTAAATCTAAATTTGATTGAGCAATAAAAACACACTCAATATCCTTGCCAACTCCTCAGATGATGACTGGTAAAACCAAAAGCCTCCTCGTTATGTAGTGACTGTACTTACCACTGTACCAGCGCTATGGAAAAGGAAAACGTGTGTTTCCCTGATCTCAACCAAGAATGAAGAATTGTGTTGCAATGTTCAAAAACACCTTGTTCATAAACTTCTACATACAGTTATGTGACTGTGCTAAAAATGTAAAAGAGAGCACTTCCCTCTATGCCAATACTGTAAAAATCTCTAAAATACTCGCTAAAAATCTTTTAAAAAAAACCCCAAAACATTTCTATTGCCAACACCTTTTAATCACCTTTTAATCTTTAAAATATTTACAACGTATCACACACAAAGCAGTTAAAATATAAAATAAATTATAAATAGAATCAGTTTACCCTCCTACCTCTATTCCTTCATATAACAGCCAACAGGACTGCTAACAGTTGTTAATCTGGGAAAATGAAAACAGTTGAAAGAGATGGAATAAGAGCGGCAAATAAAGATGAACAGTTACAGAGAGGTATATCCATGCTAGGTCCTAAGCCCATTTCTCAAAGCCTCTTATAACTGAAGGACTACATCAGCAAATTCCTACACAACAACCCCCGCCCCACATGATTGGAGTCCTGCAGGCAGCCTGCAGGGAGGAAAGGAGGGAAGTGTCACCAGCCCACATAGTCCACCTTTGAATTACTGCTCACCAATGAGCAGCAAAATTGTGAGCAAGGAGAAATATAGAAACAGTCATTTCAAATGTGGCTATAAATAATATTTGAATGTTGGTTAACAAGTTTTTGTGTTTTTTATATAGTTTTTCTTTATTTTAACAAGTGCACAAAGCTATTATTCACTTTATGTCTATGTAGGTTCTCAGTCATCCAGGTCATGGTAATCTAAGGAGCTTCCAAAGAAAAGTGACTGGACTTGTTTATGCTTCTTGAAGACAGTTCACCTTTCATCCGAGCTTCTTCAGTTCTAAGACTGAATGGTGGAGAGACCCAAGGTTTTTAAGACCTATTGGAGCTTAAAAACGAATACCTTATCTGAATCTGAGGCAGAGGTGCTGTGCTGCCTCAGCTGCTACCAGGCAATTTGTCTTATTTCAGCCACGAAACATTCTGATAAACTCCCCATCACAGAATAGTTTACAGTTTTGTTTTGTTTTTTAATTTTATCACAATACAACTTAGTTGATTATATTTGTAAACCAACTGCTATTTTTTTTAACTTGCAAATTAAATCACTTTGATGACTTAAAATGTACTGGAGCCAATGTTTATGAGAGATTTGCTAGCCCTGGAAAATGTTAGTTCATATTAAAAAATAAAAAAGTCTAATGCAAAACGTACAGCTTTTAACAAAACGTGGACTTCTATGTATTTATTTACTGAAGTCAGAGGTAAAGCTATGCACTTAGTTTGCGGAGAAACAGGTTGATGTGTTTAAGGATTGCAATTTGAATTGCTATTACAAGATCAAACACACTGAGAAATCAAAAAACTTGACTAATGCAGAGTAGGAATGGATATCTGAAACTTTGTTAGCAAAATTTCAAATGCAAAAAGGACTTTTGATCAGTCTGAATGCTGAATGAACAGCACTATGTCAAGGAGTAGTATGTCCATGCAACACCTGTGGATCTATTTCCAATATTTGTCGCATTTGCGGCAGATTTACTGCAGACTCTGATCAGGAAAGTGAGACGCCGAAAGAGAGGGAAGCGAGCCGGCGCACTCGTGCGTCTGAGGAGACGTGGACTGCGAACTGCTCTTCCTGGGATCTTCCTTTCCAACGTACGCTCACTCGGGAATAAGATAGACGAACTGGCCCTGATGAGAAGAAATGAAAAGAGAATTTGATATAATGTGTATATGTTTTAAGGAGTATAGTGATAAGATGAGAAAATAAAAGAATGAGAGAATAAGATTGGAGGGATTTAATAATGATGAAAGAGGAAGAGGATTTATGGTAAAAGAAAGGTGGAGGTGTATGGATTTAAATTATAGGTGGATGTGAAATGTAAAAGTGATTATAGCATGATATTAATAATATGAATAATTTTATTATGAAAAGAGTTTTTATTTGAGGGAGTTTGATTATTAATATGGAGTGTATGAGAAGGGTGAGAGGAGAAGTGGATAGGAGAGAAATAATAATGGAAGCGGAATAGGAATATATATTGTATTAGGGGATATAAAAGAAATATGAATGAGTCAGAAATATAAGAAAGTATAATTAAATGAAGATAGAGAGGGAGAGGAATTAGAATGTTAAGCAAGATAAGAGGGGATATAGTGTGAACAAGAGATTAATAAGGAATTTAATGAAAAAGTAATGATAGAAAATAAAAGAGTTAAAGAAAGAAGGATGAAGCTACTTAAAAATGTAGTGAGGAAAAAAAATGTGGGAGTAAGAGGATGTGGAGGAGATTAGAGGTGTTTGGAGTATAAGATGGGACAATGAAGGTGAATATTAAAGAATTGGGAAGAGTTTAAGAATGTAATATATATATTTGTGAGGAAGAATTGTGATAAGCAAGGGTGAGTTAATAAAATGAAATGGTTTAATATAAAATAAAAAAAATGTGGATGAAAGAGAAAGAGTTAAGAAGAAGGAGAAAGGGAATAACTAAAGAGAGGAAAAGTAAAGGTTAAATTAAAAAGTGGAAAGTGAATAAATAAGAATAATGATGAATATGAGAGAAATGATATAAGAAGAATGATTAAGGACTTGGTGGAAGGGGGTTTTTTTTTTTTTAGGATATAAAAAATACAAGATAAAACATATGAAACTTGTATTGAAAAATAAGATTCATAATGTAAGTTTTGACGAGATAAGGTAAGTATTCATAAGGAAAAATAAGGAAAAATTTAGAACTAATCATCTACATATAGAGAATAAACATAATGTTATAAAACCATATAAGAAAAAAAAAAAGAGGATTTAGCAATACAAAATTAATATTAATGAAGAAAGATGTGGAGGAAGAAGTTTAAGAGTCTGAATGATGAAAGAATAAAAACGGAAAAAGAAGGTGTGTAATAATGCAAAATAAGAAAATGTGAAAACGAGATGGACAAAGTGTTTTTATGGACATTTTAAAAATATAAAGTGAAGAATTGTAATGTGCACATGAATGATTAAAAAGTATAATAAAATAACAATGTATAAAGAAAAATGGAAAAATGGAAATGAAGGACTAAATGACTACAGACCCGTGGCTCTGACATCTGTGGTCATGAAGTCATTTGAGCGCCTAGTTCTCTCCCATCTCAAGACCCTCACGGCCCCCCTCCTGGACCCCCTGCAGTTTGCATATAGAGCCAACAGGTCTGTAGACGACGCCATCAACATGGCCCTACACTTCATCCTGCAGCATCTGGACTCCCCAGGAACCTACGCCAGGATCCTGTTTGTGGACTTCAGCTCTGCCTTCAACACCATCCTTCCAGACCATCTCCGAGGCAAGCTTTCCCAGATGAATGTGCCTGATCCCATCTGCCGGTGGATCACTGACTTCCTGACGGACAGGAAGCAGCATGTGAGGCTGGGAAAGAATGTCTCGGACTCCCGGACCATCAGCACCGGCTCCCCTCAGGGCTGTGTTCTTTCTCCTCTGCTCTTCTCCCTGTACACCAACTGCTGCACCTCCACCCACCAGTCTGTCAAGCTAATCAAGTTTGCAGATGACACCACCGTTATTGGACTCATCTCGGACGGGGATGAGTCTGCCTACAGGAGGGAGGTTGAACGTCTGGTGTCCTGGTGCAGCCACAACAACCTGGTGCTGAATGCCCAGAAGACAGTGGAGATTATTGTGGACTTCAGGAAGCACACAGCCCCACTCCCCCCCATCATCCTGACTGACACCCCCATCACCTCTGTGGACTCATTCCGCTTCCTGGGTACCACCATCACCCAGGACCTGAAGTGGGAGCCCACCATCACCTCCGTCATCAAGAAAGCCCAGCAGAGGATGTACTTCCTGAGGCAGCTGAAGAAATTCAACCTGCCAACACGGACGATGATGCAATTCTACACTGCAATCATCGAGTCCATCCTCACCTCCTCCATCACCGTGTGGTACGCTGGAGCCACTATCAGGGACAAACAGAGACTGCAGCGTGTTGTGCGCTCTGCTGAGAAGGTGATTGGCTGCAGACTCCCATCTCTGCAGGACCTGTACACCTCCAGGACACTGGGGCGTGCAGCTCGGATCTCAGCTGACCCTTCTCACCCTGGACACAGTCTGTTTGACCTGCTCCCCTCAGGCAGGAGGCTCCGGTCCATTCGCACCAGAACCTCTCGCCATAAGAACAGTTTCTTCCCCTCTGCTGTTGGACACATGAACAATAACCGTATAACTGTTCCCACCACTAACACATGACCCTACGCTGTGTTCACTGCATCATTCCATGTTTTGGCACTGATCACCACCTGCACTCATGTATATATCTTTCTACGTAGCACTTTTAATTCTTATTCTCATGTATATATCTCATGTATATCTCATGCATATATCTTTCTACGTAGCACTTTTAATTCTTATTCTTACTTTTATTTTTTCATGTCTATTTAAGCGCAATTTATGACAGCATGTTTGCACTGAAGCACCGCAGCAATTTCCTAATGTTGTAAACCTGCTCAACATTTGGCAATAAAACCCTTTCTGATTCTGATTCTTAGTGCATGCTTGAAAAGGCTTGGACTGAAATGGGTTAAAATGACCGGAGCTAAAAATTAACCACGTTGTTGATGTTATAAATAAAATAGTTAACTTAAGTAGGGCAAAAGCACTGAATAACAAACGGCTTGGTGCACATCGAGGATTATGAGACTGAACATACTGATGTAGGAAACAGGTCGCTTGGCCTGGGCAAACGGCTAAAAAGAGTATGGGGCCTCATATGCATACCATATAGCACATCTTAACCTTTGGTAAAATGGTATTCTTTTATATATGATTCTTATATAGCACTTTTCTACTTTCCCAGAACACTCAAAGTACTTTATACAAAGAAAGCGCACACAAGCATTTTCATCCATGCTTTTCAGTGATTCCTAGCTAACATTCACACACATTCATTCTCTGATGGATGGATCAGAGAGCAACTCGGGCTTAGTATCTTGCCCAAGGATACTTGTCATGCAGACTGGGGGAGCCAGGGATTAAACCACTAACCTTCCGATCAGTAGATGACCTGCTCTACCCCTTGAGCTACAGCCAATATCTTTGAGATCTGGTATTTTCATTTCTGATACCACAGGTTATAATAGCCTGCTCAAATTCAGTGAGCCTTTTAAAATGTCCCTTCTCTAACAAATGTTTGTAAAGGCAGACATTGTTGATTTATTTTTTATAACACCTGTGGTAGCTGGACTGACAATACCTGAATTCAACAACTGAGATCTATTGTCTGATATTGTTTATAAAAGACAGAAAATAAGAAAAATGTATCCTCTTTAGGAGAGCACTGTCGAATTTCAGACAAAAACAAGTATACATGCACCAAGGCATATATAGGCAGCCCTATGGTTTAGAACATGTACATAAAATCCATAAATACTGTATAAATACTGTATTTATGTGTAGAAAGTAAAATACTGTTTCATTTTTGATTTAACAAATGACCACTTTTTTTTTTATCACTAAAACTCAAATGCCTAAAACCTGTCCACTTCAGCTCATTACTCTGCATTAACATGCCTTAATGTCTGTGAAGGTTCTCAGTCATCCAGGTCATCGTAGTCAAAGGAGCTTGCAAAGAAAAGTGTCTGGACTTCTTTAAGTTACTTGAAGACGTTTCACCTCTCATCCGAGAAGCTTCTTCAGTTCTAAGGTCAAATGGTGGAGAGTCCCAGATATAAACCTAGTGGGAGTAACCCCCCACAGAGGGACAAAAGGACCCCCTGATGATCCTCTAATCGCCTGAGCCAAGGTGTGAAACTGGGTGTGGGTCCCAATCAGCCAGAGTTTCAGGTGTGTTCATTGTGAAACCTGGCCCCACCTTATCATGCGAATTCCTGAGGTCAGATGGCCCAGGATGTGAGTGGGCGTTAAGGCATCTGGGAAGGGATCTCAAAACTGGATTATAGATGGCAGAGAGTTGGTGTCGTAAACCCCCGCCTCTGTTCAAAGATGGTCGCTCACAGTGGACATAGATGGCTTCTTTCACTCCTCTTTCAAACCATCTGTTCTCTCTGTCCAAAATGTGAACATTGGCATCCTCGAAAGAGTGTCCTTTATCCTTAAGATGCATCGGTGCCATCTGACCTCAGGAATTCGCATGATAAGGTGGGGTTTCACAATGAACACACCTGAAACTCTGGCTGATTGGGACCCACACCCAGTTTCACACCTTGGCTCAGGCGATTAGAGGATCATCAGGGGGCCCTTTGTCCCGCTGTGGGAGGAAACTCCCACTCCCTATGGGACTCTCCACCATTTAACCTTAGAACTGAAGAAGCTTCTCTGATGAGAGGTGAAACGTCTTCAAGTAACTTAAAGAAGTCCAGACGCTTTTCTTTGCAAGCTCCTTTGACAACATGCCTTAATGCAGAACATGAAAGCTTCCTGGCAAGCAAATCAACGCAAAATGAATGGTACCAACCACACTGCTGCGAGCTGTTGCCTGTTCAGCTGATCGCCCATGAAAAGAACAAGTATAAGGTTTTGGAGGGAAGCCAGAGCGTAAAACCTTATTATGCCCAAATGAAACTCGGGCTTATTTCCCCATTGAGGTGGGGCTGAATTCCTCATAAGCAGAAGAATTTGAGGTTTTAGACTGTGAGTTTTAACTTTGATGTCTAAATTATCATCAGTGTTGAACTG